GATCAAGACTTTTCTTACATTTTCAGATCTTAGGTTCACCCTGAATGCATGTGGAAACACATTTACCTTTACTAATTCAAGGTAATGCTGGATTAGTAATGGAATTGGCTTTCTTTGTCCTTAAAAGGTAGGGTAGGTAAGAATGGAGAAACCAGCTCGAGTGCGCTAGAAATTGAAAATACACAACCGAAAAAAATCGGCCCCTTTCTTCAGACTTCCTTACAGAGCCCCTCCTCCAACACACACGAACGCGCACATGACCAATGAGGGCACGAGATCAGTTTGTGCCCAGATGGAAGGCTGACAGGCAGGTAGGCCATCCAGTTACTTTAGCCGGGCCGGCTCAGATGATTGGTCGTGCTTTTTACAGTACGGCTTCCACAGATGACATTTTTGTATGTATTTATTGTCAAAGTATTTCATGTATTCATTGCTATCGGGATGTTAAGAGCATTCCATGGAATATAACAAAAAGTGTTTCTGAAGTGAATTACCTACCCCACCTTTAAGTATTATATATTTTAGCGTATGGGACAATTGTTTGCTTGTTCTTTTATTCTACTTTAACACTAAACATGTTTCTGTGCCAATTATTAAGAATATTACTGAAATCTAAAAGCTAAGCAGTCAAATGTGTTTCTATTATTTGCAGTCTGGTGTGAATGCATTCAATTGTTTCTACATACACATAGAAGGGTGTGAAGGAGGTTAAAACAAAATGTCTACTTACTTGGTGATTGTCCAGGAGCCATAGAGGGCTGTCCCATGCTGGGGGGCTGTCCCATGCTGGGGGGCTGTCCCATGCTGGGGGGTTGTCCCATGCTGGGGGGCTGTCCCATGCTGGAGGGCACCTGTGGGAGGCCAGGGGAGGGGATGCCGGGCATCATGCCCTGCTTCTGGAGTCGCGTCCTCCTCTTCTCCTCCAGCTCCTTTTGGATTTTGTAAATTTTCTCTGCCAGCAGATGGTAGTACTCCGCCTAGAAAAGGAAGCACCAGCCGGGACAGAGGAGGTTACTTGGTTTAATCGCAACAGTGCATACATTAATACTTGTACTTTCTCTACTGGAAACTGATGGCTTCAACACGATTACAAACTGAGAGGGATTGACACAAACCGTTTTAACTGTGCAGTTTGGCATTCAAATATGTATCAACACCACTCCATGCATTGCAATATACACATTTGTATTGATTTGATATATTATACAATGTGCACATTTTTACTTCAACATAAATGTTTGCATAATTCATTTTATCCTATTTTTACAAAAAAAAATGTCTTCTATATTTAAATAAATATTTGGATTCAATTATTTTAAAATCCCTTGGTACCACTTTACAATAAGACTACCCTTATAAAGGATTCATAAAGGGTTTATAATTAGGTTATGAATTAGGTTGTAAACACTTTATTAATCATTAAGAACTATTTATAAACCAGTTCTAACAGTTTTCATACATCAACACAGGCTCACTATTTGGCAAGATGACTAAGCCTTATAGAGAGGCGAAGTCCCTCCCTTTCCGGGGGAGCTCCATGGGACCTTATTTCGGAAAAAGTCTGTATTGAAGTCAATGAAGAGAGAAAGATTATCTTTCGATCCCGTTTGAATTGTGCAATTTAAAAGATCATTTTGCAAGTCAAAAAATAAAAAACTGTCGTAAAACTGCGAAGTAACACTTTTTTTTGTGTGAAACGCTCAATGATCTACATCTCCCGTCTCGCACCACACACCAAGACGGCCGTCACGTTGGCACATTTCACTTCTCTCTTTCAGAATGAGGCGGAAAGTATTAAAAGAGGTACAAATCACTCCATGTCTGGGCACGTTGAGAGCTGTGCATACACACAAGGGGAGTTAGTCGGTTCTGTGAGAGCCAGCATGCGGGACCGGGATTCTGGGATTTGTAGTCTTTCTAGTTGCGTATTTTTCATAGTCTTTTATTTCAACAGTTTTACGACAAACTGACTTTTTTTACATAGAAATGATTTTTTAAGATTGACAAACATCATATGTGTAATTTGTGGCACAAACGGGATCGAAAGATAATCTCTCTCTCCCCATTGACTTCAATACATACTTTTTTCGAAATAAGGTCCCATGGGTCGGAAGTAGAAGGGAGAGACTTCGCCTCTCTATACCCCAGGTATATCTCTCTATATTGGCTACCTAGCTTACTTCGTCTTCTTCCTCAGCTAGCATCCTTGGTATCTGTTGTTCACCGAGTTGATTCCCCCCCTTCCATCTTGATGTTTCTTGGCATCTCTTTATGACCATTTATTTACGAGTTACTAACATTTATAGTTGCCAAAAGGGAGCATTATTGTAAAGTGTAAAACACATTCCCATTTATGAATGAGTTACTACCATTTCTAATAAGACTTAGCAGTACAGATAAATGTGGGCTCACTATTTGGCAAGATGACTAAGCCTTATATTGGCTACTTAGCTAGAATCAACTCGGTGAACAACAGATACCAAGGATGCTGGCTGATGAAGGAGACGAAGTAAGCTAGGTAGCCAATATAAGACTTGGCAGTACAGATACATGTGGGCTCACTGTTTGGTCACAGTCGCTCTGTTTATCTCATGTCTTAAAATATTCTGATACACTCGGTGTGTGTTGGTTTCTTACCCGGCTGTTGGCCGACTCGTACATGTCCCCCTCGACTTTCCGAGCGTACGCCACCAGGTTCTCCATCCGCCGGTCCTTCAGGGCGGCCGGATCAGGAGTGGGGAAGATTGCCTGCACACTACTCTCACACATGCACAAACAAGAAGGACACACAGATACAATTAACTTGAGGCAAGAGGATGACACCAGGTGCTGAATATTATCCAATACCACTGTCTATACTGTGCATATGGGATCCATAGTGAAAATACAGTATTTATACATATTCCAGCTTTTAAACTATCAGTATTTATTGTACTACACCATACGGCTACTACTGTATTTTTACCCCTTGCTGTTTTTCAACACATTTTATTTCTTTAGTTCCCGGCTCTAGTGAGATATCCTGAGGGCGCATACTCACAGCTTGTGGACGAGGTGGTTTCGGAGGTCCTGTGTGATGTCTTCATGCCACGACTTCCTCATGCCGGGAGCAGAGGGGGGGGGTCGCCATGGGCATCGAGCTCAGGGTCGCCAAACTATCACTCATCAAACTAGAACAATTACAGACAAGAAGGAAAGGAAGGAGTGAGATTTCATCCAAAACAGAACATAGTTTGTCTTTGTTAATGTCCAATGTAAGAAATATAAAAATGGTCCTACTTCTGTGCACTCAAGCTGCCATGCAGCAGGGAGTTCGGCAGTAGACTCGACTGGTTGGGGGATTGCACCCCCACTCCACCATTCACTCCCATAGAGTTTCCACCTGGAAAGAGTGAAAGAGTTGTGATTATAGAGTTTGAAGGACATGATTATTAGTACGACACTATAAGCAGGCCCCGACTGCGTTATGGTGGAAACTGATTAACTCTTGTTTTGGAACAAGCTTTGTCTGATCTCAGTTACGCCAGTCGTGTGTCCACCATTTGGGCACCTGGTCTTTAAGTTTGTATAGTGGTTGACACGGAAATGTACTGAACAAGCTGTGACTGAGGGAATAAAAGGCAGTATAACAATCAGAGGGTCAAGGATTTGATATCATTCCCGGCAGTCAACATGTCGAAGTGTCCTTGGACAAGATACTTTACCCTAGATTTCTCTGTAAGCATGTCTACGGTTTTGAAGTGTATGCAAGTTGCTTTGAATCAAAGCCTCAGCTAAATAACATGTCATTTCATATAAGAAAATGCAGGCAAAAGACAGCAGGGTAACATCAAACACCATCACACACATTTCTAGTTGGTTATTCTGCCTTTAAGAGACACACATGTGCTGTGACGACACTTAAGGGACTCCAATCATCTTATTAAAAAAAACAGGAAATGCCTTTTAAAGCTCTCAAACATCTGTTAAGTGGCCCTTTGCGTTTATGTTTTCTATGGCATAACATGCTGACATAAGATCAAGAATACAAATAATATTTTCTCAGTGATAAACCTAAAAATGTGATTGTATTAGAAACGAACCCATGGAGTTGAGGTTCCTCATCCCCGGCTGGCCCTGGTTGGACATGCTGCCCTGCGACGGCTGGGGGATCTGGTTCCCCTGGTACGTGAGGCCGAGGGCAGCGTAGGCTCTCTCGATGGAGCTGGGGTCGATCTGGTTGGGGGGGTTCATGCTGGGAGAGTTGGACTGTCCACCGGGAACCCCTGAACCTAAAGAGTTCACCAGACCCACCCCGGCACTGTTTACAAGAGCTGAGAGGAGAAAGAGAGGACAGAGGATGAGCATCTGTGGACAAATACTTTGCTGCATATATTTGAATGCACACTTTTTTTAAATTGTATTAATCGTTGGTTTACATATTTTCCAAAGTGCACACATTATTACTTTTTATATTTATATAAATAATTGTATTAAAAACATATTTGCACATTTTTATTTTAACATGTTTGTATAAATACTTTGTCTTTTATATTATCCTTTATTGCACACTTTAAAGGTGGGGTCGGTCATTTTGGAGAAACCAGCTCGAGTGCGCTAGAATTTGAAAATACACAGCCGGAAGAAATCTGCCACTTCCTCACAGAGCCCCTCCTCCAACACACACGAACGCGCTCATGACCAATGAGGGCACGAGATAAGTTTGTGCACAGATGGAAGGCTGACAGGCAGGTAGGCCATCCAGTTACTTTAGCCGGGCCGGCTCAGATGATTGGTCGTGCTTTTTACAGCGCCACGGCTTCCACAGACGATATTTTTTATGGATTTTTTGTCAAAGCATTTAATTTATTCATTGCTATCGGGATGTTGAGAGCATTCCATGGAATATAACAAAAAGTGTATCTCGAGCCGGTTTCTCAAACTTACCTACCCCACCTTTAACATCTTATTTTTGTATACATTTTTATTCTAAAATGGAGCAACTGTCAAAAAACTCAATTTAATATATAAATTGGGTTTATAGATCTTTTGTAATGATGACTTAATGATAAGAGTTAACACACAGAGAGTGAGGAACACTCACACTGCTGATTCCTCTTGTCTCCAGCGTTTTTCAGCGGCAGGCAAACAGGACAGTCATGTCGTGTGCAATTCTTCCAATGAGAGATGATCTGTCTGGATGAGGCACAGTGAGCCACTGCGGGGGGGGGGGGGGGGGGGGGGGGGGGGGACAGAAAAGGAGATCAGTTTCAGAAATAAGGAAGAATCATGAAAAGGGAGGGAGAATGAGTGATATGAGAAGAATGTGACAGAGGAGGAGGAGGAATAAAGACGATAAGAGAAAAGGGAGAACATTCAGTAAAAAGAGAAGCCAGAGAATGAGAAAGTTACTGTATGAGTCACTCAGTGAAATAAAACTACATCCAGATGAGAGAGAGTACAGTAAAGCTCAAGATCGAATAACTAATTTTGATACGACGATAAACCAAGAGGGACATAAACAACTCAAGCAAAAGGGGAAAAAATGAATTGCAGATACATGACAACTTTAAACGCTGCCCTTAGTGTTTGATATAAACCACACAACCGTAAAAGCAGCAATCATCATAATTCAAAGGACTCACCCTGGCAGGACTTGCCAGCCTGGCAGTGAGTCATGTGGTTGAGCACGTTCTTCATGGTGCGGCAGTGGGGAAGGTTGCACTGCCTTACTTCCCCGTTCGCCTGCTCCCTGCGCTGGCACTTGTGCGCGTGGAGCAGGAGGACCAGCTGCTGTTGGATCAGCTTCCGTTTCTCGGGGTCTGCGGTAGGGGGCGCTGCGCCGGGACCGGCCCCTACGGCACTGAGCCCGACCTGTGGGCCTCCCACCGCTGCTACTCCTCCGACGGATACACCACCCACCGCTCCGGACTGCTGAGACGCCTGCGGAGAGAGGATCGGGATCAGAATACCTTACTTATCGCAGGGAAAGGTGGGTTTTGTGATACTTGCTTCATTTTTAAAGCAGATGTGTGACTCTGTAGTTTGGCGTAAAGAAGCGGAATTCTTTGCCGAATGATTTAAAAAGGGCTGTAAGAAAAATTGTATGTTTAAGAAAATGTATAAAGAAAGCGTAATTAGACAGTATGAAGTTGACTGTTGATTGTGTTCTGGTTTTATGTTTCAGTATTTGTAAGCTACTGTGACCAGCGTTTCCGCCAGGGGGCGTCTTGCCGTCATTTGACGCCCTTATTCAGCTCGGGACGCCCTGAACTCGAGCCGAGGGCGTCCAACAATATTAATAATTCGAGAGAAGATCGAGAGTTTTTATCGCTTGAAATGACGAAAAGGAAAAAGGACAAGGACATCCCTCTGTTGGAGGGGCAAAGGAGTCTGGTGGGATTATTTTCGGAGTATTGAAGATCGTTTCCCCGACATCGAAGGTGCCTGCTACCGGACAACACGGAACGTGCGCGATTTGGAAGCAATGAGCGGGGGGGGGTTTTAGTGGAGCATGCGCGTGAACTGCGAGCGCCGAGCCTCGCAGCGGCGATACTGAGGCTCTGCGGTAAACTGTGGTAACATGAAGAGCCGTTTGGGAGCCGAAACAGCCGGCGCTTTAAGAGAGCCGAGCCAAATGACCCCCAATTGAACAGGGTGTTAATAACGTTCAGTGACTCACTGCCATCTGACAGGGACATTCTGACTTCTGCGGCATTTGATTAATCTCACTTCAAAAAGGCGGTTTAATTTCTCTAAGGCAGGTAAGATTATTGCATTGGTAATTCTTCACTATAATCCCATGCAAGACAACAGTCGTGATGACCATGTTTCTATTCAGAGGACTCAAGAACCCTTTGCATGGACTAGGAGCTTGTCAAAAAAGATGTGAAGTTTTAGCTGCTTGTAAATACATGAAGGGACCCAAAACAAATGACTTAAGTGGTCAAAGCCATCCTCAAAGGGACGTAACAGAAGAAAGAAGGCACAGATATAAAGTGAAATTCAAAACACAAGCAGAGTAGTGCATGACATAGATGGGAGGCAGTCAAGGGCACATGAGTCACAGAGAAGGACAATAATATACAGTAAGTTATAAACACAAGCCAGGTGCAACAGAGGATGTTCACCTTGACACTGGCTGTGCGGATATGTGGCATTACAAATATTTCCAATTATTATTTTCTGTCTTTAAGTCTTGTGATTTCCGCTTTGAACTTTGACAACGGCTAAACACACCTCCAAACAGGATTATAAACACTGTTTACACAGTCAGCCCATGTAAAAGCAAATATTCTAGAGATCAACTCATTATTGGTTTTAGACTACTTTAGACAGAAAGTCACCAAACTAATCCCTTAACCAGGAACTTTCCGCCACATGGACTAGTGATAACTTGATGATGCTTTAGAGACACAGTTAAAAGACTTGAGACTGATTATGTTTTAATTTATACAATTTGAGAGACTTCATTTTGAATGAAGGTCTCCTATTATACTGTTTTTCATCAATATATCACAGGTCTCAGATATATACAGAACATGTCTCTGGAGTGTTTGGCTCCAAACACCAAACAGGTCATTGCAGCATTACCCATAATCCCCTCTGTTTCAGCCCTGTTTCCAAAGTGCTGATTCTCTGTCTGTTACTTTAGATGAAAATAAGGAGCCCCTCCCCACGCCCCTCTGAGAGAGATTTGGTTAAAAAGAACACAATGGTGCTCTAGGAGGAGATTCAGGTGATAAGGTGGGGGGGGTTACCTTGGTTGGTGATTGGCTAATGGTTACACAAGACAAAACATCGTTATGACATCATAAAGTGGCTAAAATCTGATCAGCTCATTTTCAGACAGGTTTTTATAGAAATGGATCAGGACAAAAAGAGAGAGAATCTTTGTTCCTGAAACTTTCAGAGTCTCTTTCCACAGAGGGGACACATGTTGATGTAGAAAAGACATGAAGAAGAGGGGACACATGTTGATGAAGAAAATACATGAAAAAGTGGATTTTGCATAATAGGTGACCTTCAACATAATATACATTTCTAATTAAGCAGAAAAAAAACTGATCTTACCATCCCAGGCATGCCTTGACCCGGCGGTGCCTTCTTGTCCATGTTGAACTGGGCGGCCATATTGTTTGGCATCCCTGCCTTATTCTGGAGCTGAGGGCCCAGCCCTGCTCCAGGAAGCCCCTGGCCAGCCTGGCCGTACGGACCGCCATAGGGGCCCGCGTTGGTCATCATATTCATCTGGAGAGAGAAGAGAGGGGGACAAAGAGAAATGAGAAAGAGGAGAAGAGAATGGATCATTTAGAGATGAAATAAATTTACTCTGACGACCTTTAAAAGCATTACTTAAGTAGCAAGTCAAGTGATATTCCATTTTCAAAGATGAAATATGCCGAAGTTTTATAATGTGTTCTTACATTAGTTAACAACTACAAATACAACTATCAAAGTACACTTTAAAACTGTTTTAAAATTGCTGCGGCAGTGCAAAGGATACTTCTTGGAATTACTTTAAAGGGACTACAGGTAAATATTCCTTCATAATGAGTGACAGTATTAATTCCCCTTTGCCTTGACCTTACTCCACAATGAATTAATAGTAGTAGTTACAATGTAAATGCCACTCTTTATGGTTCAGAAAAAGGTTACCATCTATGGTGTAAGATCCAGCTTACATTTTTCCAGCTACTTCCGTATATGCCCAAACTTTTCCTTATTTTAAAACAGCAAATACATTTGAACTACAAAGAACTTGAGATTTGAGTCAAGACAGGAATCATTATTAGTAACATCTACTGTTGGATTTCCACCGACTAATCTCATTTGTTTCTATACAATTAATGGAGGTAAATCAAACTGTCCCTACAGCTCATCATTTATACAGATTCAACTGCACCATCTCCTCAGCATTGAACATGGATAACACGTACTTTACATGCTTAAGTTAACTACAGGACATTAGTTTTAAAAAATCCGGTGCTTGCCGGTGTACCACCAAAGAGTTATGCTACTAGTTTGGCTGAATCATTTAACAAAGTGGTTTGGTGTATTGTCTTCACACCTTCCTTCAAATCAAAACTATCCTGTGGCATATCGAGGAGGTTAACCATCAATACCACAGAGCAGTGAAGCAGAGTAGAGTCCAACAAGCAACCACACACTATACTGTTTACTACAGGTTCTACTACAGGTTCACTTAAGTCTACAGCTTCACATGAGTAAATGGCTTTTAGAGGGAATTTATCATCATCATCATCATCATCATCATCAGTTTTCATTTATTTGACCAAACTCAAGAAAGCCATCAAGAACAACCATTTCCAGAGTTTTGCCACTTTTTCAATATGTTACGTATAAATGTATACTTTAGTTGATTGTACCAGATAATCCTTAATAACATTTAATTTAGCTGATGCTAAAGTAACTTACAATAAGTTAAATTAACCATGTAGATAAACTCAAAACAGCCAGAAACCTACAAAATGCATGCTCCCCTCGTCCATGTTGGAGTTATGACATATCGACCAATATTTGTAATTCCTATTTTGTAAATGTTGTCAAAATAAAAATACATTACAATTACAATATCCTTGAGAATGTACTCTTGTTAATGCCACATTTCAAATGTAAAAGAGCATTTTCTTTTTGAAAAAAAACTACATGTAGGTTTTCAGCAGTGCACCAAAACAAAACCATAATCTGTTGAGGCCGGCATTTAAAACATTTTAAAATTCAGTTTAAGTTTGAACCAGAACTTAACATTTGCAATGTGTGCTTACCTTGTTCAATGCTCCGGGTAGCTGCGGTCTCATCCCTGCCTGACCCCCGGGTCCCATTTGCTGCCCGCCCTGCTGCAGGGTTTCCGCCAACAAATTACTATTGTTACCCATGCTTCCATTGCCAGGGTAACCCATTCTTGGCGAGCCGTTCATCACCTGCCCCCCCATCAGGCCTTGCTGCTGTCCAGTGTTGCCCTTCTGGGCATTCATCATGGCAGCTGCCCGATTGAGAGCTGCCACCCCTCCACCCATCCCAACTTGCTGCATTAATCCAGGCTGCTGTCCCTGGGGGGGCATGCCTTGAGGTCCACCAGGGGAGACACCCCCCATCATCCCCATGGAAGCCCCGGGTCCTGTGCTGTTGGATGTGGGGCCCCCCTGCTGTGCGGGTGCTCCTGCACGCAACAGCTCCGACAGCTGTTTGTGTTTGGCAGCAGCATCATGGCCGCCCAAACCCAGTCCTCCTCCGAGACTGCCGAGGCTGGTGTGGAGTTGACTGACATCCCCTCCGTTAGTCAGCCCCAAGTCCGACGAGTTGATGAGCTCATCAGGGAGGTCGTGCTCCAGGTCGAAAAGTGAACCGAAATCTAAGCACAAAAGAAAATAAACTTTAAAAACTAGAAAAAAAACAAGGTTCACACAGCTCAGGAAATGTAGGATTTGCACTGCATACATTTTTTAAACCCAACTTCATTTAAGCGAATTAAAACGCTGACATTATTTTGAAAACCCATTTCATTTGTAGCCCATAGCTGGACAGCCAGTGCAGATTTAGCTTCCGCTCAAAGCCTGGATTTCTCTCCTGGGCATCAGCTTGTGGTTTGATGGGGTGCCAAACATGGAGAGTGAACGCAGTAGGGTCGGGGTGGGAAGCCGCAGAGAGTAAACATTACAGTACCTAGGTAGGTGTGTGCATTGGATCTACAATCATGTTGTGCAAGAGCATTAAACAGAAAAGTGTCAGAAGTCATTTCCACTGAACAGCAAATGGGAACGTTTTTGACTAAATATATAAAAATCATACACATTTTTCTTAGTAGACGTTTCATCCAGCAGAAGAAAGAAATGCAGTGATAGCTCTACTTTGATAGTGAAAACCCAGGTTAAAACATAACCTGCATGTTTAGTTTTATTGCATGTATGATGACTTTTAGCATGCATTTGAGTTGTTGACCTCACGCGTTTAGAGAATTTACTGTATTAGGGGCCTAGATACTTAAGGAAATGTCACATGTTTCAAACTTGAAATGTACATAACTTACTTTGCGAGCTTGTATGGCCACCAAACATTTCAAAGTTAAAAAAGTGTAATAAACAAAAGCAGAAATACTACCTACGTCTTCATGCAATTCTGTGTCTTGTTCAGTGGTGGAAGTACATTTACTCAAGTACAAAAGTAAGTTACTTTTACTTTCCTTGAGTATTTTCATGGTATCCTACTTTATACTTTTACTCTACCAATTTTGTAGGCAAATGTTTTACTCCACTACAATTATTTTTACAGATTTAGATACTTTGCACATTTTAGATTATAAATACACACTTTAAATCCACTAATTTATGTATATTTACCATCATAGGATAAGCTACCCAGTATTAAATAAAGTGATTCAAATAAACCCCACTTTTACAAAGTACAACACTGATTATTGAATCAATAATTATAATCTAATAATTTAAAATATATATTGTGCTTAAATGTTATGCAGTACCTTTGCTTTTGGTCAAGTATATTTAGATGTCAATACTGTTGAAGCCTTAACACCTCGGACGTTACAATACCTTACTTTTACTTGAAACAGAGTATTCCTATTATGTGGTATTTCAAATTTTACTTCAGTACAATATATGAGTACATTTATCAACTCTGTATTTAATTATATACTTTTCTTTTTTTTCTACTTTCCAGAAAGCGACTAAACCAAAGAAATATCTAAATTATCATGCACGTCTCGTTACAAATGCATGCAACAAGAGGAAGCCATACGTGTACAGCTTCTGCTTCAATATGTAGAAATGAATTAGTTTTCAAATAAAGTTCAATTCCTAACAAAAGGGAACCGTATTTAACAGTTAAATCGTTTTGAAGAGTAAATGCAGAAAGTGCAGCGCCGAGTCAACGTGCAGTGAGTCAAACAATGGAGGATGAACAAGAATGGGCTTCGTCGGTCGACTACAATTGAGAATCTAAAAGCCTTTGAACAAAAAGACATGAAAAGAAATGTTTCGAAGACGGCACATCGAGTTCCCCCTTTCATTTAAAAGCTTCAAAAAGTATAACATGTACACACTGCTGTTTAATCGGCTGGGAAACAACGCTTTGCGCAACTTTGTGACGAACAATAGCTACGACAATTGTTCGCTAAAAACAGAGCAGCGGCTAACAACACGTGAAGCACACGACATTTCTCACCACAAACGGGTTTATTTCCACTATATAAAGTATTGGTTCGCACAGAAAATGAGTCTTATTGAACAGAATGAGGTTTTGTTTGTGAAAAATCACTTATTTTCTTTGCTAGCTTCGAGCTCAGCTGAGCCGGTGGCTAGTTAGCTTAGCTAGCTCGGTAACCGTTACTTTCTCCCAAAGCTAATTCAGGAAACGGTGCTGTGTTACTACTTTAATGGATAAACTATAACGCCTGGTGTTTAATGAGGAGTATGTGCTCTCATGTTTTCAAATTAATCAACTTTTAAAAGTACTAAGACAACTTGAAGCAAACTGGGGTGACTCTGCTCTTCCATTGTTTGGAGATGGGTCTAATAGTTGGTGGCTAGTTAGTTAGCATGTTGAAGCTAACGCATCAAAACACCCCTGCAGGAAAGTTGCTCCTTTTCTTTTTCACAAACCAAACTCTCAGTTTAGCCTTTTTCTACACATAAATAAAGTAAAAGTTCTGGAGCGGATGTGTCAGTTAAGATGCTGTGTAACTCTGCAGGGACTCAACAGACCGATCCTAAATTAACACACAGTTTGAGGTGTTTTATATGTTACCTCCAGCTAGTTAGCTAGCTAGCTCAGTAACCGTTACTTTCTCCTAAAGCTAATTCAGGAAACGTTGCTGTGTTTCTACCTTTAGGTAGACAATATAACGCATCCTGTTTAGTGAGTGTGTGCTCTTATGTTTCACATAAATCAACTTTCAAAAGTAGTAAGACAACTTGAATCAAACTAGGGTGACTCTGCTCTTCCATTGTTTGGTCTAATAGTTAGTGGCTAGTTAGCTAGCATGTTGAGGCTAACGCATCAAAACATGCCTGCAGGAAAGTTGCTCCTTTTCTTTTTTTACAAAAACATCTCACAGACTAGCTTTTTTATCAACAAAACTACAAATAAATGTGCATTTAAAAGCATTAGTTATTGAGCAGCTCTGTGTCAGACCAAGTTGCAGAGTAACTCTGCAGGGACTCCAAACACATTAATGAACACACATTGGGAGCTATTTTATATTTTATCTGAAGCTAAGTTAATGCATGCCTATATTTACCGTTTCCATCACTGGCAGACACGGAGAGGGCTGGAGAGGACAGCTTGGGCCTCTTGGCTGAAGGCGGGCCGGACTCCAGGACATTATCGGCCATATTTTTGTCGAATTAAAAAAAAAAAATCTGTAGATCCACGGAGGGGCAAACGTATTTCCTTTTGATTTGAGTCTCCTTTTCCCTTTAAGAAATGGTCGTTCCCCCACCGCTTGGGGGGACGGTAGGGGAGAAGAGAGCAATGTTGAACTCTTTCCTCACCCTCTCGGTTTATTCCTCTCTGCAGCTATCAGTCCCCCTCCCCTTTCGGAGATTCTGTTCTTCACTGATTTCAACAGGAGGAGGTGGGAAGGTGGAGTCGGCGAAAAAGGCAAGCGTGTGCGGCCCCTCTGACAACCTCATGTAGCCTCTTCTGCGACACAAAACTGTCCCAAGATCCGTCCTCCGTGCTGCTTTCAGTCCTTTCCGCCATAGTCGGCCGGAGAAAGCCTGTAATTTCAGCTCTGAAATGGGGAGTCTCGATCAGGGCACGAACAAAAAAGATAAGCAAGATCCAAAAAACACAAACCAGGAGGGTTAACTTCTGCAGGCCGTTTTCCTCATGCAACAGTTATGAGATCCACGGTTGCATTGACTATTTCTTTCACCTGACTAGACATCTCACTTAATTGTGCAGAGTAGAAGTAGCTCTCTAATACAGTTTAAAGAAGTACTCTTGCATTGGCTTAACAGAAACTGAATAAATACTATAACAGTTCTGCAGAAAGAAAGTCCCACACTTGCAGTTACTCAGATAGGAGAATATATAGCAGATGTCCATGCATGTATTTTCTTTTGCATGTGCATGCTGACAAAAAAATATGCACTTAGTGTTTGACCACGCAAGGCACTGGGTCAGGAACTCGTATTGCACGTTTGGTTGTTGCAACCCCCTTTTTCCTCTTGCAGAGCAGCAGGGTTGGCAAAATAGAAAATCTTGTCAGAAAAAGCACCGTGCAATCGATCCTGATGCAGAATGTAGTTCTTGGACTTCTTGTGGGCAATCACAGCGTCTAATTGGCAATCAGTCAGATTGATCCAATTAGTTTTTTATTTTTGCAGAGGTTACTTATCTTGTGCTCCACAAGAGGTTTCCTCCTCTGGGTTTCCCTTGGTTTTTAGCACTTGAAATAAAAAATAAAAAGATAAATATTCCCCAAAAATTAGCTGTCACTCACTGCTTTATAGGATGCAAGTGAAGAGAAAAAAAAAACCGGAGCACAGTTTGGGCGACAGGCGAAAATGTGAATTAAAAAAATGACGATTGGTCGAAAAAAAAAAAAATTATGGCTATTTCGGAAGCGGAAAGATTCAGATCGGTGTTGACACCTAGCTTTAAAATATTTTGCACTGACCAAAAAATCCTCTCATTTACTCTTTGTGATGGAGAAATGCCCCCCCTTCGTGTTGATCCTGGCAATTTTTCCCCTTCTCTTTAAACCCGTCTTTCTTTCCACCTCTCCCTTCTGCCCGGCAGCAATTTATTTATATAATTGTCTATGCGGACTCTTTCCTTCCTCCGCGACGGACACATAGTGAATTTTCATGTTTTCCCTTTTTTCGCAGTTTTTTTTCCTCCTTATAATAAGATATATTGCGCTCTTCCGCCTCTCCTCTCTGTCTCCGCTCCGCAAAACACCCCCTTCCTTGGATTTGGAGTATTTCCTTCTCATGCATACATATATATATATATCACCGACTCGGTTTCCCTCCACGGTGATGCTTTCTCTCTCTTAGAAACACGGACAGGTTTTCTCCACTCTTTCTTTCCTTCCCGGTGTGGCTGGCCGTCGGTAGCCGGAGAGTCGCTCCTTCCTCTCGGTTATCTCCTCCTGTTTCTGACGGTCTGTCCGCACAAACAAAATGGCGGCTTGTTGTTTCTACTCCTCTGATACGGGGGGGAGGGTTGGAGGTACAGCAACATTAGGCGTGAAGGGGAGGAGGGAGAGGAGGGAGGAAGAGGGGAGGTTTGTCTTCGGAGGGGTTCGGGAATGTCCGGATACCGGTTCCGTGATCTTACGGGTTTCAATCGGTTTCAATCTGTATAAGAGTGTTGCTCGGTGTTTCTCTTCCTCACACAAACAGTAACAGAGGTGGAAGAAGTACCACAATCTTGTACTTCAGTAAAAGTACAAATACTATGGCCTGAAAATACTCCATTACAAGTAAACAGTGGGGTTACTCATCTACTCAAGTAGGCCGACTGTACTTAAGTAAAATGGAGGTACTTTACTTGAGTATTTTCACATTATATTACGTTATACTTTTACTCCACTAAAATGTTTTGTTGACAAATGTTGAACTTTTTCCTCCACTACATTTATTTTACATATTTAGTTACTTTGTAGATTTAGGTTAATACAAATCGACACATCATACATTATTCTAGGCTAGTTACTTTCTGTAGGGGACAGTGGCGCTCCATGGATCTCTTCCTCACACAAACAGCAGAGGTGGAAGAAGTACCAAGATCTTGTACTTCAGTAAAAGTCCAAATACCCAGATCTGAAAACACTCTGTTACAAAAGTCCTGAATGCAAAATGTTAATGGTAGCACAGAAGCATTGGCTAAGAGCAGTGTTAGATCCAGATCCAGAATACTTAATTGTCCATCAGATTTACATATAATGGAAATATGTCTTTGGCAAACAAGATAAAATAACATCATAAGAAGTACAACATACAATTCCAGAGGTGGAAGAAGTCTGCAGATGGTGTACTCAAGTAAAAGTAGAAGTGCCAGAGTTAAGGAATACTCTGCATTTAAAATGTTTCTAAAGCTAAATTAGAACAATATTATCATCAAAATATAGTTAAAGTACCTAAATTAAAAGTACTCATTCTGCAGATTGGTCCAATTCAGAATAATAATGTTTTGATTATAATTCTTGATGCATTCAAGTGTTCTCAAAGCTGGTAAAGGTACAGCTAGTTTGAATGCCTTTGTATACTGCAGGGTAGCATTGTGAATTTACTCCAGGTGGAACTAAAGTCTGATTTAAGAGTTGATTATATTTCACATTATTCATCCACATCTGTCAAGTAACTAAAAGGTATTCAATAAATGTAGTGGAGTAAAAGTACACCATTTACCTCTGAATTGTAGTGGCGTAGAAGTACAAAGTCACAATATTATATTTTTATATAATATTACATTGTCCTATTTTTATCACAAAAAAAAAAGACAGGGCACTTAAATGTTGCAGTTTGTAAATGTGGAGCCAATTTTAGATCCTTTAAAAAACATTTGAATGTGTTTATTAAATAGTCTAAGTATAGTACTTGAGAAAATTTTCTGGGTGGTTACATTCCACCACTGTCAACAACAGTTGTATTAACAGTGGTGAAAGAAGTACTCATATCCTTTACTTAAGTAGAAAAAACTATGGTCTTAAAATACTCCCCAACAAGTAGTACAACTCCACACAAAATAAAACGTACTTAAAGTATCACAGGGAGAAGTACAATGACTATTTTCCCAACATTATCCATCCCAACATTATATAAAATCACATCATCGTGTTTTTATTACTAATAAACACGCTTTTTTTTTTGCAATGTTACTTTTTGAAAAACTGGGTGCATTCCTTAACAATAATTTCCCTTATTTTTTAATGAAAGTAAAATAAAAAATTTGACGAGATCTTTTTAATACACACACATTTCTTTAGAATAGATCACATTTTTCTCTCTCTTGAAAAGACACACACACACACACACACACACACACACACACACACACACACACACACACACACACACCACACACACACACACACACACACACACACACACACACACACACACACACACACACACACACACACACACACCACACACACACACACACACACACACACACACACACACACACACACACACACACACACACACACACACACACACACACACACACACACACACCACACACACACACACACACACACACACACACACACACACACACACACACTTTTCAGTTCATTGGACTCACCATTACAATCATTCCATATTCATTAGGGGAAGTTGTTTAAGACAGGTTCATTTTCAATTCTCACTTGTGTGCATTAACATAATGGACTTTATGATCTGTCTGCAGCCTAGGGAGTGGTGTTTGGTGTTTTGATGTTTTGTAATGGGAAATAATCATTTGTGTGAAGTTCCTTTTTACCCCAAAATGAACACGTGTATGCAGGTACTGTACACACATGAAAAAACTGCTGAAAATATCGTATTAGCCTTTTCCCATTCACAGTGGATGTGTATGCCATTCGGTTTTTTCTCCTGTTGTGTCACCCTGTTTGAGTAGAAGACATTAAGTGGAAGTTTGAGGTATTAATCATAATAATGTACTTATTATACCCTATTGCCTTCAACACATGTCACATAGCATTGTACCTAAAAAGGTTTTTGAGATACACAACAAAATGATTATATCCCTGTGTGCCATGATGATGGTAATACTGGTAATAAAAACAATACTGTTTAGGAGCAAATAGGTTTTAAGGATGAAGATGAGTCCATGGTAGCTTGATCTAACCACGGAGTCTTCAGCTGAACATAAACTTGATGCAAGTGGTTAACAGTTGTTCCTAGATTCTTTATTTCTGGCTCTGGATGACATTTCCCGGCTGATAGCACCATCACAACACTATTACACATTTGTAAGAACGTGGTTTTGCTTTAGCTGCCGTAGCCCTGATTTGTAATTACATTTTAACAAGAAATACGTCTGTATCAATGCAGTAATAGCTTTCGTATTTCGACAAGTTAAGTTCGTTTTGAATCAAGTTTTGAATCAGGTGACTCCTGTGTCCTTACTCCTGTCTTTTTCTCCAAACTTTGCCATCTACTGTAGGTATCACACCAGTTATGGCTAAGCAGTACGCTATGCAAACCAACTTCAAACTATTCCATACACACAACTAAACCCACCCTTTATCCTTTATCCCTCTTCATAATCACTCACTGTTGAAGACAAATACGATCCAGTTTCTTTAAACAGTTAGAAAGATGTCAACATATATGATCTTCCACATCATATTGTCTGTATTTTGGAGGCCTTGCTGAGGCTAAAACTAGAGTCTTTGCAATGTGCTCCCACCTTTCATGTACCTGGGCCCTGAGCCGGATGATGTCATCACGGTGGAGACGTTTGGAAACTCCCAGCCCACAGATGAAGTGTCTCACTTTGTCACCTGTCTGTCTCTCCCTGCCTTTATCTCTGGGCGCAGGCTTTCTCTACATCAGCGATGGTCTTTGGTGCGTCTGAGGACAGAATCAAAGCGCCTCCCTCGTCTCGGATCACCACGTCGTCCTCTATCCTGATGCCCAATCCACGGAAACGCTTAGGCACCTGGTCGTTGTCCTCGGCTATGTACAACCCTGTGATAAAAGAAGGAGGAATCAGAAGTCCTTTAGTCGTCCCACAGAGAGGAAATGTATAGGAACGCATAGATAGTGACGAAGAACACTATAAAGGCTTTCACATAGTCAGGGTTCATACACTTTTTCACCAATGATTTTCAATGACCTTTACCTAATTTTCCATGACCAAAAACATTACTCTTTCTCAGCGGTACCACTGAAAATTGTTTATTTTAACATGGAACAGAAAAATAAGGTCTGCATCTGAAACATGTCGTGCCTATCTAAAACAAATCCAATAGTAGCTTCTACAGGCTAAAGCAACTAAAATCTCTTACCAGCAAAATACCTCGTCAGTTAAAAGCCATTTTACGTTTCACTACTATACGATACAGTATTTATTATCAATATAGTATTACTATTTTGGCGATTAGATAAAATATAACATTTCATTTCATTTCCATGACTTTTCCAAAACTTTGGGAGAAATATTGTTTTCCATGACTTTTCCAGGACCTAGAATTAGCTTTTTGAATTTCCATTAATTTTCCAGGTTTTTAATGACCGTAAGAACCCTGCATAGTATTTAAAATGAAAAGTATTACTGTTTAACAGAGTATGCAGGTAGATAAGTAAGTAGCAGGAGTACTTGTAACATATAATAAGTGTAGCATTGTAGAATGAAGTGAGGTATATAACAGTAGTACAATTATTATTATTGCATAGTTACGTAATGATTCTTGTTACAGTAATGGATAGACTAACTCGGAGTAGCATCCATTAGTAATAATAATATTAGCAGGAACATATTGCACATACTGTTGTTTTAGGACAGTGGTGTCATAGTCTTTGTTTTTTACATTATTGCACATTGGTGCTAACAGAGGTGTTAATAGTATTTTTTATTAGAAGAAGCAGGAATAACGTGAAAGATAAAATGTAGAAAAGATAATGTGTAATGTGAGAGTCAGTTCCTCCACCAAAGTAACTGGATTGTCTTTTAGAATAAGCCAAAGACTAAACAGGTATTAAAAAGGGTAGTTTGTGTAAACCTGGTTCTATGGTGATGGCCATCCCCGGCTGCAGAGGTTGTGAGCGGGACAGCTCAGGAGTGTCGTGGACGTCCATCCCCAGGTAATGTCCAATGTGGTGGGGGCAGTACCGCCGTGCAGCCTGGGTAAACACATGTAAAGCTTGATACAGTTGCATAAAGGTTGGTCATCGTATAGTCCTATGCCAGACCTGATTTGCTTCTAAACATTAAGGAAGTGAAATGAATGGGGGGTTACTGTCATGGGTGAGCCTTGTCAAATCCCTTTTCAACGACACCAAAGAATCAAGAAAGCATCTAAACAAGAACATTACAAAAGGTGAGCACAAATTCCAACATGCAAATCTGGGGAATCTATCACATTGTATCTCTTTTGCACTATGTATGAATGTGTTAGAATTAGAATCAAAAGTGTGTACTTGCATTTCAAAATAATCATTGTTGAATGTTTAAGTCACAGTTTACCAAAATGTTTGACTTGGGTTAAGCTTTGAATTAGCTTTCGTCTAAGGCTAAAGGCACAAAGTAGGGTTTTTTCTGTGGTTCTACATCGACAGTCTACAAATCCTCAGCCATGCTCACTTGATCAGTTAAGCAGCAATTGAGTCATAAACAAAGGTACTAGACAAATTGAATGTTGGACCTTACAACAGTTGTTACAATTCATAATTGAAATCAGGGAAATATTTCAATTAACATTTTGCAATTGAAAAATACTGTAAATGTGTGCATGTGGCTGTGAATAAATGGTTTATAGAGTAAAATATGATCTTCTTATTCAACAGAGACCTTATATTCAACTTAAGGAGCAGCTGAATATTTGTATCTGGAAAACATAACTTTGTTGTATAGTTAATCATCTGCTACTCATCCTGAGAATTGTGTTACTTGCAGCAGCTTTGTTTTACAAAAACAAGCACAATTTGATTCTTTTTTTTCAGCAGAATTGCTCTTCATATTGGATAAAGCATCATGTTTACCAGCCAGACTCCATGCCATTTCAATTTCTCTGATTCTTACCTTCAGTACATCAGCCTCACTGCTGCTGGCCTTCACGACGCCGAGCCTCCTGAGCTGTCGCCCCAGCAGAGCCAGCATGCTGCTGTAGATGTGATCCAGACTGACGCCCGGCGAACACATGGACAGACAGGAGCGCTGCACCTCCAGCACCGCCTCGTACAGCTCCGCCTGCGCAGGGCTGAACCTATGGGGAGTAGGTATTTCACTTAAATCAATTCTGTATAAGTGAACTCAACTCCACACCATGTATAACACAAGTCTAGTCATATATATTTCATGCAAAGTTGTTACATATTATATATTTAAGTGTGTGTTTGTTGTTGTCATCAGAATACTTCTTAAAAACACCTTTTAAAAAGGTTCCCAAATGTAGAGACATAAAAAAAACTATAAAGCTAACAATACACAACACAACCTAATAGTATCCAATAAGATACACAAATAAAGCAAAGCTAAGCGTAATTAAGGTTTAAGAAACAGGGGGTGAGTTCTGATGTAGGGATCAGATGGATTTCAGGTAAAGCTCTGCCTTTAGAAAACAAACATAGTGAAGGATTTGTTTAATTGCTTATTTTGACAAACTTACTTTCCATTCACTGGCCATGTCCGAGTGATATCACTGACGTAACCAAAGTATTCACAGCCTCCATCGAGCAGCACCATCTCACCATCCTGACGGAGGAGAGCAGAGTCAGTAAAGCTGTTCAGTTATTACTGTATATAAATAATAACATGCTACACCTTCCTTTTACCTTGATGATCTGGTTGTTGTTGATGTAGTGCAGAGTGTTGGCTCGGTTTCCCCCGGCAACGACAGGCGGGTAGGCCAGGAAGTTGGCGCCATGGATCCGATTCTCGAAATCAAACTGGAAGGATGAAATCACCTTGTGAGCATCATGTTAGGTGTCATACACTGTCCGACTAAATGAAACTGCTCCATGCTGCCAACTTTCATTTATTTACCTGATTCTTTGGTATATTTTAGTTGAATTTGCACTTTTTAAAATAATAATTATCCTGTTATTGCACTTGATTGTCAAGCAATTCAAACTACACTTCCTGTACGAAAGGTGTTATATCAATAAAATAAATGAATAGAGTTTATTATAGACCTTTTTTTAGTTGAAAAAGGTATAGCTTAATGGCATATTGTGTAATTCCTGTGGACATTTTAATTTGGACAAAACAAAGCTATAAAGACAAACCACAGTAACTGCACTAACCTACCAGGTCAAGTCAAAGCTAGCTCGTGCCATAACAATGAACACATCTAAATAATTGATGTGTCTTTATTTAAATACACGCTATAAAATGACATCTTGATTATACTGTTAAAAAATTCACAGGAATGAAGGAGACAGTAGCGGTTATACATTCTGCTGATAAAAACTAAATATCTTTAGTTACTTTAGCAAAGATCACAGCTTCATCCACGTCTCCTCGACACATAGCCATCGTTCTCCGAAAAGCCTGAAAGAAAATAATTCAGTTACATACCACCTTGGTTGGTGATTGGCTAATGGTTACACAAGCCAAAAAATCGTTATGACATCATAAAGTGGCCAAAATCTGATCAGCTCATTTTCAGACAGGTTTTTATAGAAATGGATCAGGACAAAAAGAGAGAGAATCTTTGTTCGTGAAACTTTCAGAGTCTCTTTCCACAGAGGGGACACATGTTGATGTAGAAGAGACATGAAGAAGAGGGGACACATGTTGATGTAGAAGAGACATAAAGAAGAGGGGACACATGTTGATGTAGAAGAGACATAAAGAAGAGGGGACACATGTTGATGTAGAAGAGACATGGAGAAGAGGGGACACATGTTGATGTAGAAGAGACATGAAGAAGAGGGGACACATGTTGATGTAGAAGGGACACATGTTGATGTAGAAGAGACACGAAGAAGAAGGGACACATGTTGATGTAGAGGAGACATGAAGAAGAGGGGACACATGTTGATGTAGAAGAGACATGAAGAAGAGGGCACACATGTTGATGTAAAGAGACATGAAGAAGAGGGGACACATGTTGATGTGGAAGAGACATGAAGAAGAGGGGACACATGTTGATGTAGAAGAGACATGAAGAAGAGGGGACACATGTTGATGTAGAAGAGGGGACACATGTTGATGTAGAAGAGACATGAACAAGTGGATTTAGCATAATAGGTCCCCTTTACCAATCCATGTTGTTGAAAATGTTGCCTTACCTGCAGGCTTTTGTTGGTAATTGTATAAAGTTGACACTGAGCAATTTACACACACTAACCTGTGCACTGATGTGACCTGCTTCTTGCATTAGTGCCACCTCAGCGGAGCTCTTGACGGCCCTCAGAGAGTGGACGAGGGGCCGGAGGGAGTGAGGCATCGGCCCCTCGTCCAGCAGGGGGCCCACGTGCGCCTGATGGAGCCGAGGGTGGGCCGGCAGAGAGCTGTCGTACCACAGCACAGTGCCTGGAAGAAGGAGAAGAGAAAGTGGTAACAATGAAGTTAAAGTTGTAAACAGAAGGCAGTCAATTGTCAGCTCCGGTTTCTGTTATTATTTCGTTTCAAATATTTATATTGAGAAGAAGCATAGTCTAAGCAATAGTACAGATTTCTTTGGGGTGGAAATCATGCTTCTCTTTTTCAACATAGAAGACAAACAGAACAACCAAAAAAAAGAAATAATAAAGAAAAAACATAGCATGACAGGAATACCATACGTAATGACATACATAGCCATAATGGGAAAGAACATACAAAATAGTATATATAATAAAAATAAATAAATAAACTTGGTTTCTTTTTATTTCATTTGAAAAAATAATTGAATCCCTAAATTCAAATATGATACATTAGCTATAGAAGGCTAATTTCATGGATTTGTATAAAGAAAACACAAGAACCAGTGAAAAGGGTTATACTGTGTGTTTGTCTGCTCTATAATGCCAAGGTAAATAGAACTGCCTACAGTAGTAACTTGACCCACTCGACCATGCTGCACTGCATTATATTATATATCAAATGCACCCTATAGGACTCATCATTGCAAACTGTATAGCCTAACTGGATGGTCCTCACTTACTATGCGTAGGATGCAGCATGGGTTTTTATTATTGTATAAAGCCATTTTAGGTACGCTTCCACTGTATATTTCTGCCAGATTTTCTCCAGTTTGTGACTCTTACGACCTCAGATCCAGTGCCTGGATACGGTTCCAGGTTCCTGCCGTGCGGACTGAGGCTGGGAAAAGGAGTCTTTTTTTATGATGGTCCTTGGTCTTGGAATGACCTTCAATCACGCCTCAAACTGAGGGCACTTGTCTCAATAGCATGTTTTAAATTGAAGTTGTCTGAAGTCCTTACCACCAGCTGCTCTTGCAGTAATAAGTAGTGCACCTTTCTTACTGTCCTAATGTGCACAATGTAGTGACTGCTTTTTCGTCTTTTGTTTTCTTAGTTATGTTCTCTGCATTTTATATGTTTGTGTTATGTGTTATGTGTAACGTTGCTGCCTTCTTGGCCAGGTCAGCATTGAAAATGAGATTTTATCTCAATGCTTTTTTATCTGGTTAAATAAAGGTTAAATAAATAAATAAAAAATGTAGTGTTTGTTCAAGGCAAGAGACAACTTATAGGAAAGTGTTTCTTTCATGCATTTAAACTAACCAGTTTGTTTATTCATATTGAAATATAGCGCTTTGTTTCTTCATTCCAACAGTGACCTCATTTCAGTGAGGGGCGTCCGATTGGTTAAACAAACGCACACCTTGTACTATTTCTATTCTATTTTATTTGTATTACTTGCACTATTTTAACTATTTTGTCTGTTTTATTGTGTTGCACTGTTGGAGGAGCCTGTGACCTAATATTTTCATTGACATATCTATATTGTAGCTATGTACAAATGACAATAAAAGCCCTGAATCTTGAATCTTGAATGAGAAGAATCATGCCTCCCCCCACCTTTAAGGCTCTTGAGAACCAGACCCAGTTCTTCTGTGCAGTGAACTCTCTCGATGCCGGTCAGAGCCGCCGCTCCATCCTTCCCCGACCGCGGCCCGTCCCACAGCTCTCTGCTCGGGTCTCTGCGCGGGACGAACAGGATGGCCTGGTCCGGGCGTCCTGTCCCGTACAGAACCAAGGCACTGTCCGGCTCCAGGATGCCACTGAGGTACAGGAAATCCTGAGGATCATATGGACACAGGTTAATGATGACGGCTATCTTAAATTATACACAATCAGTATTCTAAATCAGGGGTTCCGAACCTTTATTGTGCCAAGGACCGGCAGATACATTAAAAAAAAATCGCGGACCGGTTGTCAATTTTAACTGATTTTAATATTTACTCACCACCAGCAGGTAGCAACAGAGGCTAACATCCTGAACAAATACTAGAACAATATGCATCCAAAACATATTAACAACGTTTAAAAAAGAACCGGTGTCGTTTTTGGTTTTTCGGAAAAACTGAAAACCGACGTTAAAACGGGAAGACAGATAAATCAACGTTTTGGTTTTGTTTGTATGATTTACGGATAATCCAGTGAATGATGGGAAAACGAGGAGAAGGCGCATTATGAAGGAGGTGTGTGTGTGTGTGTGTGTGTGTGTGTGTGTGTGTGTGTGTGTGTGTGTGTGTGTGTGTGTGAGACTGGCATTTGTTTTCAGAAGATATTATGATAGTGACGTTCGTTCCGGTGCACGTTCGACAGCATTTCGCACTACATCGAGATTAAGATTAAACTAATTTATTTTGGGAACACCCGCATATAGGCTACCTATGGAGTTAGCCAGATGTGTGTAAATTACTGTTCATGGTCATTTGAAAACAAATGCCGGTGTCGGACAGACACAAACACTGAACACACAGAGCTGAGCAGAGCACATACACACACATCATGCGCCTTGGTAACTGGACATCTCCTTTAAAAAACGAATTGTCAAGATCTGTCTGTGTTGTATTTTGTCTTGTCTTTTTCTGTCTTTTGTTTCATGTTTTACTTTGAAAGGTCTTCACCTCCTGTCTTGCCTGTTTCTGTCTGTGTTGTGTTTTGTCTTGTCTAGAGCCTCATCCCAATACCCTTCCTCGACTCCTCTCTTCCCCTCCTCCGGGACTTGACCCGGAAATCGATCAAGACACGCCATTTTGAAGGACATCCCAATAGCTGAAATGCACACGGAGGAGTCGAGGAGGGGTGAGGGAGGAGGGGTGCGGGAGGAGACGAAAGGGAGGAGACGAAAGGGAGGAGACGAAAGAGGATACACGCGAGCAGACTACGCGGAAGTGTTTTCACTACTCGCATATAAAAGCTCCGCCCCCACCTTCACAGCTGGTCGATTTCAACAGAGGAAAACCGACAACTGGAAGATGAGTGGAAAAGCGTCACATAAATGTATAAGTGCTCACAGCTCCGTGGGAATTATTATGTGCAATTCATTTCTAAAAGGCTTCACATTACTATAATTATATTTTTATTTAAATGTAGGCTACATTTTACACCAAAACGGAACACAAAAGCAGGACCAAACATCATTGCATTCCTTGACTAACAAGAGAAAGATTCATTCACTTAAATACATATTTAACCAGAAATGGACCGGTTCTAAGTGGTTATTCAGTTAAGCCCGATGAGAGGGGATACAGCTGTGCGCATGTCATCATTAACAGATGTCGTCGTTTAAGAGTGACGTTTGAGTGAACGAGGACATCCCAATTAATACCTGAGGACTCCTCTGTCCTCGCGTCACCTCCTCGTGTCCCTCACTCGCATCTTACGGAGGCAGAGCTAAGACGCAAGGAAGGGAAGCGAGTGAGGGAAAGGAGGAGTCGAGGAGGGGTATTGGGATGAGGCTTAGATCTGTTTTTGGTTTTCTGTCTGCGTTGTGTCTTGTCTAGATCTGTTTTTGGTTTTCTGTCTGCGTTGTGTCTTGTCTAGATCTGTTTTTGGTTTTCTGTCTGCGTTGTGTCTTGTCTAGATCTGTCTTTGGTTTTCTGTCTGCGTTGTGTTTTGTCTTTAGATCTGTCTGTGGTTCCCTGTCGTTAGTTTCCCTGGTGTGTCTTATTACCCGATTGTGTGCACCTGGTGTCCCTGTGTTTTCTCCTCCCTCCTCACCTGTGTCTTGTTTGTATAATTAGTCTTGTGTGTATTTAAGTTCTGGTTTTTCTGTCTGTCTTTGTCGGTTCGTCTTGTGTTATGACTTGGTCTTCGGTGAGTGTTCTGTTCTGTCTTTGTTTATAGTCCACGGAGCCTCCAAACGGCTCCTAAAAGAAGGAGTCGCAAGGCCAGGTTAGCAGCACGAGCCCAAAGTGCCATGGTTCCAGCCCCAGTTCTGTCCCCAGCAGCCATGGTTCCAGCCCCAGTTCTGTCCCCAGCTGCCATGGTTCCAGCCCCAGTTCTGGCTCCAGCAGCCATGGTTCCGGCCCCAGTTCTGGCCCCAGCAGCTATGGTTCCGGCCCCTGTTCTGGCCCCAGCAGCCATGGTTCCAGACCCAGTTCTGGCCCCAGCAGCCATGGTTCCGGCCCCTGTTCTGGCCCCAGTAGCCATGGTTCCAGCCCAAGTTCTGGCCCCAGCAGCCATGGTTCCAGCCCCAGTTCTGGCTCCAGCAGCCATGGTTCCGGCCCCAGCAGCTATGGTTCCGGCCCCTGTTCTGGCCCCAGCAGCCATGGTTCCAGACCCAGTTCTGGCCCCAGCAGCCATGGTTCCGGCCCCTGTTCTGGCCCCAGTAGCCATGGTTCCAGCCCAAGTTCTGGCCCCAGCAGCCATGGTTCCAGCCCCAGTTCTGGCCCCAGCAGCTATGGTTCCGGCCCCAGTTCCGGCCTTGGCAGCCATGGTTCCGGTTTCAATTCCGGCTCCAAAGCCGGCCCACACAGCCATGATCCAGGCTTCAGCTCCGGACCTTACAGCCATGATTCCGGCTCAAGTACTGGGCCCAGCAGCCATGGTTCCGGCCCCAGTTCCAGCCATGGTTCCGGCTCAAGTACCGGCCCCAGCAGTCATGGTCCCGAATCCGGCTCCTCGTCACCTGTTGACTCATCGGCCGATGCCAGATCCCCGAGTCCTGTCGGCATACCGGCCGACTCCAGCACCTTGTCTCCTGCTGGCTCTCCAGCCGACGCCAGCTCCCCGTGTCCTGTCAGCGTACCGGCCGACTCCAGCACCTCGTCTCCTGTTGGCTCTCCAGCCAACACCAGCTCCCCGAGTCCTGTCGGCGTACCGGCCGACACAAGTTCCTACCCGAGTCCCCTCTCAAGTTTCCTCTCAAATCCCCTCTCTAGTTCCCTCTCAAGTCTCCTCTCCAGTTCCTTCTCGAGTCCCCTCTCGAGTCTCCTCTCCAGTCCCCTTTCAAGCCCTCTCTCGAGTCCCCTCTCGAGTTCCCTATCGAGTCCCCTCTCAAGTCACCTCTCAAGTTCCCTCTCAAGCCCTCTCTCGAGTCCCCTCTCAAGCCCTCTCTCGAGTCCCCTCTCGAGTTCCCTATCGGGTCCCCTCTCGAGTCTCCGTTCAAGTTCCCTCTCGAGATTCCTTTCAAGTCTCCTTTCAAGTCACCTCTCAAGTCAACTCTCAAGTTTCCTCTCAAGCCTTTTCTCGAGTTCCCACTCAAGTCCCTACTCATGTGCCGTTGGAGGTCCCGCAGACTACTCTTCTGCCGGGGGTCCTGCCAACCCCATGTCCTGAGTCGTTGGAGGTCCCACAGACTGCTCTTCTGCCGGGGGTCCTGCCAACCCCATGTCCTGTGCCGTTGGAGGTCCCGCAGATTGCTCTTCTGCCGGGGGTCCTGCTAACCCTATGTCCTGTACCGTTGGAGGTTCCGCTGGGGGTCCTGCCAACCCTTTGTCCTGTCCCGTTGGGGGTCCCGCCGACTACTCTCCTGCCGGGGGTCTTGCCAACCCTATGTCCTGTCCCGTTGGGGGTCCCGCCGACTACTTTCCTGCCGGGGGTCCTGCCAACCCTATGTCCTGTCCCGTTGGGGGTCCCGCCGACTACTCTTCTGCCGGGGGTCCTGCCAATCCCTTGTCCTGTTCCGTTGGAGGTCCCGCCGACTACTCTTCTATCGGGGGTCCTGCCAACTCTATGTCCCGTGCCTTTGGAGGTTCCGCTGGGGATCCTGCCAGCTCTATGTCCAGTCCAGTTGGAGGCCCCGCCATTTCCTGTCCTGCCAGGGGTACTGCCAACCCCTTGTCCAGTTCCGTTGGAGGCTCCGCCATCATCTGTCTCGCCGGGGGTGCTGCCAACTCCTGGTCCTCTTCCGTGGGGGATCCTGCCGAAGCCTGTCCCACCGGCTCCGGTTCCTGTTGGGCTGACACTGGGTCCTGCCCGGCCTCCGGAGCTGTTTGGCCTTCACCCATCCTGAACTCTGCCTTGCCCCCGGGCCGTCCGCCCGAGTCCCCCTTTTTGAACTCTGCCTTGCCCCCGGGCCGTCCGCCCGAGTCCCCCTTTTTGAACTCTGCCTTGCCCCCGGGCCGTCCGCCCGAGACCCCTTCCTTGAACTCTGCCTTGCCCCCAGGCCGTCCGCCCGAGATCCCTTCCTTGAACTCTGCCTTGCCCCCGGGCCGTCCGCCCGAGTTCCCCTTTTTTAACTCTGCCTTGCCCCCGGGCCGTCCGCCCGAGACCCCATCCTTGATCTCTGCCTTGCCCCTGGGCCGTCCGCCCGAGACCCCTTCCGGGTCCTCCGCTGTCAGCCCAAGCCCGTCCTCCAGACCCCCTCCACCCACCCTGTTGGCCTTAGTTTTGTGTCCCTCCTCCGGTCCCCCTCCACCCACCCTGCTGGATTTTTTTTGGGACGTCTGGGATCCGTCCCTTGAGGGGGGGGTACTGTCAAGATCTGTCTGTGTTGTATTTTGTCTTGTCTTTTTCTGTCTTTTGTTTCATGTTTTATTTTTGAAAGGTCTTCACCTCCTGTCTTGCCTGTTTCTGTCTGTGTTTTGTCTTGTCTAGATCTGTTTTTGGTTTTCTGTCTGCGTTGTGTCTTGTCTAGATCTGTTTTTGGTTTTCTGTCTGCGTTGTGTCTTGTCTAGATCTGTCTTTGGTTTTCTGTCTGCGTTGTGTTTTGTCTTTAGATCTGTCTGTGGTTACCTGTCGTTAGTTTCCCTGGTGTGTCTTATTACCCGATTGTGTGCACCTGGTGTCCCTGTGTTTTCTCCTCCCTCCTCACCTGTGTCTTGTTTGTATAATTAGTCTTGTGTGTATTTAAGTTCTGGTTTTTCTGTCTGTCTTTGTCGGTTCGTCTTGTGTTATGACTTGGTCTTCGGTGAGTGTTCTGTTCTGTCTTTGTTTATAGTATAGCCTTGAAATAAAGGAGATATTTTTGACACTTTAATCTGCATTTGGGTCCTGCTTCCTGCACACACCGTAACACAAATAAAAGGGGGAATAATCGGGCAGTTCGATGTGTGTAGAGATGTGTGTAGAGGTGTGTGTGGTTAACACGTAGCAGCCTGCAGTCACTCGCTGTTCTGATGGAGGTAAACACAGCGAAGGCGGTGCGTAAAAAGGCACATCTTTACTCGCTGGCTGGTGTTGCACTTCTCAGAGGCGGAGTATACGTCCCGCTGCCTCCTGATGCTGCAGCCATTTTATGAAGCGAAGGAGGTTTTCCTTCTATAAAACAGCTGTTGACAGCAGATACCGTGAGAGTCCCGGACATGAATTCATAGATCAAGGCAGACTGGTTTACTCTCCTGTTTTGCCAATCCGGTGCTTAAACAAATAGCTCTGCACCCCTGGCCGACATATCCTTAAAATGAAGTTTTTCATTCTCATACTGATATTCTGAACAATCTGTGCTGTTGTATTTGTAAAGTGTCTCTACTGTAGGCTATTTTTATTTTATGTACAGCACTTTGGCTCGACCAAAAATCGTTTATAAATGTGCTATATAAATAAAACTTGATTTGATTTGAAGTCCGAGTTTGAAATATATCTCAAATAATGTATGCACTGCCATTTCCCCACATAAACATAAGTCTGCAATTAAACGGTTGTCTCCTGTGCGCTCCTCTTCCTACTTGGCGCACCGGTAACTTTCTTGTGCGCACAAGAGGCTGAGACCAGGCTGAGCCGCCGAATCCCTCGGAACATCATAAAAGCCATTTTCAACGGTTTTCTAGTGAAAGATTAACTAGGCTACTGGATGAAATAATATGACTGGTATAGGTGCGAAAATTAAACAGTTTTTGAAAAAAATATTATGATAAAATATTTTTATATATTTATAATTCTGCAAATATTACGATAAACTCACAGCTATTTCGCGGCCCGGCAGTAACACCGGGGGAACCCCTGTTCTAAATGACAAAAACATAGGGAATGAGTCCTAAAACCCTGACATAAGTCAGCTTTATACCACTTCCGGGTTCCCTGAAGTCAGTGTTTTTTTTTTTTTTTTTTAATGGGTTTTTGGTTAGATGCCTGAAATAAGGTCTGTGGTTAACACAGACCTTATTTAAAAAAATAATTTGTTCTACGACATAAAATACGCCAGTGAATACCCCACTGGTGAACGTCTAAATCTATGTGTCATAAAAACGGCGTTTGCTAACAAGTGACTAAACGTCATCACGCCGAATGTTATAAACACATCACAACAATTATGAAAGTATTGTTTATACAGTATGTAGGGATTATCCTTCTGAATAAAACATTGAAATATCATAAACATGTGTTTGACAGAGATCTTATTTTCTGAAACATTCCAAAATCCAATAGAAAACCCAATTGGCGTTTAGTTAAGGGGAGCCCTTGTGATGCTAACTTTGAAAACACATCACTGAACCTCTCTCTTGCCTCTGACTGTTAAAACCCCACAAAGGCACAAGCAGATACAACTTATCTTTGGTTTAATTTTTTTAAATTCAAGCTTGCACCTGGTTCTGGTGGAAGGGGTAAGGGATGTCGTTAGTCATGTAGCGGGTCGGGTGGGACAACAAGACGACCACATGGGTGCTGGAGGAGGCGGAGGGTCCCAGCCTGTCGGCCTGCGCCTCGATCAGTGAGGCCAGCCTGAGTCTGCGGAGCTCGAACTCTGTCTGAGTCAAACCCGGGGTCACCTCACCTGAGGAGCAGAGATCACAACATATGGCGTATCAAGGCAAGGCAAGGCAAGGCAAGTTTATTTATATAGCACTTTTCAACACAAGGCAATTCAAAATGCTTTACAAAAAATGAAAGACATTAAGAAAAAGGCATTTAAAATCAGTCATTAAAAAGAAAAGCTAATAAAATAAATATTAAAAGAAAAAATACATGGATAAAAGTTTCAGTGCAGTCTAAGATATAAATAGTTCAATTAAACATAAAAAGAAAAAGTACATGGATAAAAGTTACAGTGCAGTCTAAGATATGAATAGTTCAATTAAAAGCAGCGACAAAAAGAAAAGTCTTCAGCCTGGATTTAAAAGTAGTCAGAGTTGCAGCGGACCTGCAGGTTTCTGGGAGTTTGTTCCAGAGATTTGGAGCATTATAACTGAACGCTGCTTTATCATGTTTAGTTCTGACTCTGGGGACAGAAAGCTGACCAGTCCCAGAAGACCTGAGAGATCTGGATGGTTCATAATTTAGCAGGAGGTCAGAAATGTATTTTGGGCCTAAACCATTCAGTGCTTTATAAACCAGCAGCAGTATTTTGAAATCTATTCTTTGACACACAGGAAGCCAGTGTAAAGACTTCAGAACAGGAGTGATGTGATCTACTTTCTTAGTGTTAGTGAGGACTCGAGCAGCGGCGTTCTGAATCAGCTGCAGCTTCCTAATAGATTTTTTAGTGAGACCTGTGAAGACACCATTGCAGTAGTCGAGTCTACTGAAGATAAAAGCATGGGCAAGTTTTTCCAAATCCTGCTGTGACATTAGTCTTTTAATCCTAGATATATTCTTTAGGTGATAGTAGGCTGATTTAGTAACTGTTTTAATGTGACTGTTGAAACTCAGGTCAGAGTCCATGACTACACCTAGATTTCTGGCTCTATCTGTTGTTTTGAACATTGCACACTGAAGCTCAGCGCTAACTTTTGTACGTTCGGCCTTGGCTCCAAAAACCATTACCTCAGTTTTATTTTTGTTTAATTGGAGAAAGTTCTGACACATCCAGTCATTGATTTGTTCAATGCACTTACTCAGTGTTTTAACTGGAGCATAGTCTCCTGGTGAAATTGTTATGTAAATTTGTGTGTCATCTGCATAGCTATGGTAACTTATTTTGTTGTTCTTCATTATCTGAGCCAGTGGTAGCATGTAGATGTTAAAGAGAAGAGGCCCCAAGATGGAGCCTTGAGGAACCCCACATGTCATATTTGTCAACTCAGATGTGTATTTACCTATAGAAACAAAGTTGTTTCTGTCCTTTAAGTAGGATTCAAACCAATTTAGAACTGTTTCCGAAAGTCCCACCCAGTTTTCCAGTCGGTCGAGTAATATGTTGTGGTCAACAGTGTCAAACGCAGCACTGAGATCTAATAATACTAACACTGAAGTTCTGCCACTGTCTGTGTTTAAGTGGATGTCATTAAAGACCTTTACAAGAGCAGTCTCAGTGCTGTGGTTTGGACGAAAGCCTGACTGGAACACATCGAAACAGTTATTTAAATGCAAGAAATTACTCAACTGTTGAAAAACAACTTTTTCAATGATTTTACCTAGAAATGGGAGGTTTGATATGGGCCTGTAATTTTTCATTACTGAAGCATCTAGATTATTCTTTTTTAAGAGTGGTTTAATGACTGCAGTTTTCAGGGCCTGTGGAAAAATACCTGAGTGAAGAGATTTGTTTACTATATGAAGTAGATCTGAGGCCATGCAAGGCAACACATCTTTAAAAAATCCTGTTGGAATAATATCAAGGCAGCAGGAGGAGGATTTCAGAAGTTGAATAATGTCCTCTAGGTTTTTATCATTAATCTGATGGAATTGTGTCATGGTGTTTGAATTGATGTTAAGTGGACACAGAGACAACACATTTGCTGTTCCTGATGCAGAGGCACTGACTGCTTGTCTGATTTTCTGAATTTTGTCAGTGAAAAAGGAGGCAAAATCATTGCACGCCCTGGTGGATAGAAATTCAGAGGCTACTGACACTGGGGGGTTAGTTAGTCTGTCGACGGTAGCAAACAAGGCATGTGTGTTGTTTTTGTTTTTGTTTTTGGTAATGATGTCAGAGAAGAATGATTGTCGTGCGTTTTTCAATTCCAAATTATAAAGGCCAAGTCTCTCTTTATAGATTTCAAAGTGAACCTGGAGATTTGTTTTTCGCCACCTGCGTTCAGCTTTTCGACATTCTCTTTTTTCTGTTTTCACGGTCATGGCCTTTCTCCATGGAGATATTTTCTTGCCAGACACTTCCTTTACCTTAGTTGGAGCAATGGCATCTATAACATTTTTAATTTTTGAATTAAAATGATCTACTAGCTCATTTACTGAGATGTTAGCAGGGGCAAGTATGGAAGAAAAATTCTGAGTAAACATTTCCCTAGTATTTTTAGTTAAATATCGCTTTGTGGTTACCTCTTTTTGAACATTTTTGTGAACAGAAATAGAGCTCTCAAAGAAAACACAGGAATGATCAGAGAGTGCAACATCAGTCACCACAACCTTAGAGATATTCAGACCCTTTGAGATAATTAAGTCCAGAGTGTGCCCCTTATTGTGCGTGGGCTCCGTCACATGCTGAGTCAGTCCATAGCTATCAAGAACACAAAACAGTTATTTTGCCCCTCTGTCCTGGGGGTTGTCAACATGGATGTTAAAATCACCAACAATGACTAGACGGTCAAAGTCAATACACACTATAGACAGCAGTTCAGTAAAGTCATCAAAAAAGCTTGCACAGTATTTGGGTGGTCTATAGATATTTAGGAACAGAGCTCGAGAGGAGCATTTCAGCTGAAGGGCCACATATTCAAAAGAATCAAAGTTTCCATACGATGTCTTCCTGCATTGAAGGGAATCATTGAACAGAATAGCAACTCCACCCCCTTTCTTATGCATTCTTTCCTGACTCATAAAACTAAAGTTGGGAGGGGTTGATTCGATAAGAACAGCTGCACTGTTATTTTGTTCAATCCAAGTTTCTGTTAAAAACATAAAATCGAGATTGTGCTCAGTAATAAAATCATTGACTAAAAATGTTTTTCCTGCCAAAGACCTGACATTTAATAAGGCTAGTTTAAGTTCGTTAAACACACTATCAGTCATGTTTTTTGTAACAAGCTGTGGCTGACATGGAATCACTGCTAAATTAGATAAACTCACACAAACGTTTGAGCGCTTCCTGTATCTAAGATGATTCACCGCTCTTAATCTATTACCTATCAACACAGATATCGGCAAAGCTATAGGCAGGCAGGGCCCCGGCATGTCCTGGAAAGAGTTGAGAGTGCCATACGTATCAGTGTTAAACAGCAGATCAAAACCTAGACATATAGTATGTATTGTCATTGTGTTGTATTCTAATTATTTCTTTCAAGATAAGAAACAAACTATCAATACATTTTTTGTCCAAAGCAAGGAAACATGTTTTAATTTTAAAGGAACATATAATCCAATTTATATTAGATATTTTAGAATAATTACAATGATTGGATTATGAGATTAGTGGGCTAAAGAAATACTATTAGTCTATTGATTCCAATTATGACTTCCAAAAATGCTTTATATCTTATATATTTTAGCTTAGCTTCTGAATGGCATACATACTGCTCTTAGATGCTTTTTGATTATACTCTTAACGCCAATACTGTTTACTTTGTATACGTTGATATAAAATAACCTTGTGAAGTCTTTTTTGTGACATCGTTTCTAATTTTGGGAATGTCCCAGAAAATGTCTGACTTGAAAATGTAGTGAAAATATAAGAGATATTAAAGGTCCCATGTCATGCTTTTCTGGTTATTACCCATCTCCTTGTGTGTTGTGTGGCTTTTTCTGCATGTAAACGGTCTGCAGTCACAAACCCTCAAAGTACACCCTGAAGCGAGTAAAACTCTAACACAGAAAAGACCTGTCTATGCTGCCCCAGAACGCCTCGTTGGGGATTTCTCTTTTTCCATTGTTTACTTCTCGGGTATAGTGACGGGTATAGTGACGGGTATAGTGACGTAACGTAACGGCTCCGCAGACTGGTCAATTTCCGTTACGTCACGTCCGCAGAGCCGTTACGTTTGGACCAATCCGCGAACTTCCTCACACACACACACACACACACTCGGCAGGACGTTGCGAGGCTCGCTGCTGCGAGGAGCGGGACACTGTGAGCTGGCTCAATGGTGTGGGGTCGGCGAGACAGCGAGACACAGCGGAACTCAGCCTGGGCGCACACACAAACTCCCAGACAGGCTGCGGGTGTGTGTGTGTCAGGCTTCGCTGTGTCTCGCTGACGGCCACTGGGCTCACAGGGGGGGGGCAGGAGCTCCAACAAGTCGTTTAGGACAGAGAGTGAATACACATACTATACAGAGATGTTGTATGAGAAACCAATGTGTGTTTGGAAAATTGCACAATATAAATTTATTTTAGTAGACCTCAACAATGGAATTATGATCAGTAGAAATGGCCATGACATGGGACCTTTAAGAGAAGTTTTCTGCATGGGTACTAATGAGTCTGTTGCAGGTTTTCTGTAAAGAGGTGTATATGTACCGGTCCAGCGATCCATTGTAAAACTCACCATGTTTGATGAGGTGTGGATGAGTGAAGGGGCTCGGCTGGCCCAGGTACCGCTGTGGAAGAGTCTTTGGTCTCGAACCTCCGGGTTTCAGAGAAATGTTTCTGCACGGACACCAGACACATCCTGCAGACAGACACACAGATAAAGAGACAGCAAAAAATCTTAAACTGGGATCCTACAATGCTGCATACATCTGGTTTAACCTTTAATTCAGTTTAATCTGCTGTCAAAGGCTGATTCACAGAGGAGAACTTCAAAACTTCACAATATTATCACAAATATATAAGTATTGTCATAGTCAGATGTATAAGCAGGCTGATAAGTGACAAGAAATTGCAGCAAAACATATAGTTTAAATGATTTCCATTGATTGAATACCAACTAAATATAAATGTTTACTTTACTTACACTTATATAACAACACAAGTGGAGAACAAGGTTGTATAAACAGTGAAATATAGTATTATCAGCTGCACTGTATTTGTATCTATATCTATGCTGTATGTCTATGTAAAACATTCATCTGATAACTAACTGTCATGTACTGGCTTAATATTTCCCTCTGAAATGTAACATAAGTGCAGTAGAAATATAAAATAATGTTAATTTGAAAAACTATTTAAGCAACAGTACCTTATGATTTTATGTAAGTACAAATAAAACATAAAAACACTATATTGTTCTCACCTGGCCTCCAGGTTCTCAGCAGCCTGGCAGCAGACCTCACCATGGAGCTGTTTGAGGGCAACATTTCTGCTGCAACTGGAGGACACCGACCAGTCACAGCAATGTGTTCTAACCTCTGTAAACATGAGACAACATACAGTGAAGTTGGTCAATTAAGGCTCTATATTTACAGAGAAACATAGCGATTTGTTGATGAGACTCACCTTTGTTAAAAATCCTCTTATATAACTGTTAAATATCTCCTAAGGTTGGCAGTTAGCATCGTTAGCTTGATGCTAACCCCGTTCATGTGTGTAGATTGAGAAATGATGCCCTGAGTTTTGCCTCCCAGGACGGTTGTCAGTTGACCTGACAGTAATACCGCCATCTTCTGCTTCGGAGTGTGGAAAAAGTACTCAGAATATTTAAAATAAATATTATTATAGGTCATACTATCAAGAAGGATATCAAGTAATTAAAATAAACCCAACCTTTACCATCTGAAAGACTGAAGAGATAAGTGACATGAATGCATACCTTATTATAATTCAGTGATATTTATGGCTCTGAAATGGGCCATTCTGCAATATGCTTACTGTTGGTACTTTAAGTTAATGAGACGCTAAAACTTCTCTATAAGTAAGTCATATTTTGAATTCAGAACTATGACACAACGAGAGCCATACTCAAGCTTTAATGGTTCATTTATATGCATCCTATTTGTTGCCTGACAGGCTTACCTCAGGGCAATAAAACCCCGGGTCCTCTGTCAGTCTGTCCTGATTCTCGCCTGAATGAAAACACAGAAGCGACGACACTTCACTGAAGCAGAGTAGTGTCGATAGAAATCTCCTGCAACCTTCTTGTTTTTTATTCTCCCGTGTGAACTGTTTGCGTCTTCTATCAGGTGCGTTTCCCTTCATTCACTGTCATTCTTAGCTGTAGCTTTCCAACTATTTTTAATTAATCACGGCCCATTTTGCAAGCTAACGCTAATTAGCTAACGGCGTTATCATGCGTCAAATTGGGACAGATTTACATTTCCAGAAATTTCCACAAACTCATGCCTTCTGCGACCATTAAACATAGCCATTAAAGCTTTTTGTGCACGGTTGCTTCATTGCTAGTTTATCTGAATTGTGGGGTAAGCAACGCGAGGTTTTGCTAATCCATCCTCTGTTGCACGTTAGCTAACTTAGCTTAGCAAAGCTGGTATTAGCGTTAGCACGTAAACAAAGCCACACTGAACTGAGTTGTTGTGTGTTTTTCCGTCTGTTTTTTTGTTACATAATTCAGTGTGCTGTCTGCTCGACGCGACAGAGCAACATGGACCCACGGAAAGTGGCAGAGTTAAAGGGCTTCGTGCAGATGTGCGAGGCCAGTTCTGACGTCCTGCACCTGCCGGAGCTGGGCTTCTTCCGGACCTGGTTGCATGGGTCAGTATTCGTGTGTGTTGGGGGGGGGGGGGGGGGGGGGGGTGTACGTGTGTGTTTGTGTGTGTGTGTGTGCGTGCGTGCAAGTAACAGTTTAATTGATTTATTCTGTAATTGTGTCACTGAAGTTCTTAAAGTTTAAAACATTGTGCAAGTTTACCACGTGCATCAGTCCCGCCCACCTTCCAGAAAGAAACATGGAAGTGTGTGTGTGTGTGTGTGTGTGAAATCAATTGCACCACATCAGAACCCATGCAAAGAAAAAGGTTTCATCCCTTTCTATTTTATAGTCAAATCTAGGGATGTATCGCGATAAATAAATGTCTCGATACCGTCGTGAGACTGACAAAATCTACCGCGATTTTTTTTAAAGATTTAAAAAAAAAAAAAACCTTTCTTTAACCAGGTGGTCCCATTGAGATCATCGATCTCTTTTTCAATGGAGACCTGTCCAACATGGTATCGTTACATCCCTAGTCAAATCACATGGAAGCAGGGGTGGATCTATGGTGGGGGCAAGGGGGGGCAGCTTCCCCCCCACTGTAGAGCCTTGCCCTCCCTCAGCTTTTGTGTCCCTAAAACTGTACTTGTAGAAATAAACCTACACTAATGGCGCATTAACACTACAGTGCCGTTTTTTGTTGCGTTTCCACTAGGCGTAGTACCGGCTAGCGGGTACTATTTCACAGTTGTTCTGGCCCCATAAAATCGAGGTTCTTAGCGGGCCAACAACCAGGCTGAGTCGGGCTGAGTATGCTAAACTAGAGAGAGAATCGCTGGCAAGGGGGCTACAACTACAACACAATGAACATATTTGACCGTGATGTAATTGTAATACACGTTTCAAAATAATGCCGAAGTAACAACATACTGATACCGGTTAGTAAAAACCATGAATTAATGCTTTGACAAGTCTGCAGACAGACGGCAGGCCAAAAACCTTTTTTTAAATGCGTGTTTTCTAAATGGAGATCGGCTAAGCTATCGCAGTATATGCTCCGACCGTCCACACTCACAACGGCCTACAGACATAAATAAACCAGCGACTGTATTCGCCATGACACAGGCAGTCTGTGGTTTGTACTTGTTTAACTTTTGTCTAGTTTCTGAACAGATATGAGGAGCTCTGAGGGCTAACGGCTGATGTTGTTTTTCTGTGGTTCTCATTGAAGATGACGTCACGGCTCCGCCTACACTGCGTTACTATAGTTACTGCCCCAGCTACTAAACAGTAATGGAAACGCAGCATAAAGTGAGCCTGGCCTAACAAGGCCTAACTATACCGTACTAAGCCGAGCGAGGCCCTGCAATGGAAATGCGCCATATGTCCACAAGCAACGAAACAAGCAGTTCATTAATTCAAAGTGAATCATTTTAAATATCATCTTAGGCCTGTTAAAAACGCAGCTACGGCCCTGCATTAATCGGGGTTCGCAGACCGCGGCTGACACCGCTGTAGAGAGGGAGCGAGCACCTGAGGGTGGATCAGCGTCCCCTGGGTGCATTTCTCCTTCCACTAGTGTTGTTTTTACTAAGGACGAGAGCTTGAAACAAAATATTAATAAAATGCTGCCGTTTGAATCGATAGCGTTTAACAGACGGTCGCTGTTTGGGGCGTTACGTTACAAAATACTACGCAGAAAGCGCTAGCTGGGAGATCGATCACTTTATTTGCTAAACTATGCGGAACTATTAAATCCACGTAAATTACACATCACAGCAATGAGGCCAGATAATTTAAACCAGGATACATCATTTACCGTCAAACTGGGTCTGAACACAGCTGCCTGTGTGCGTTTGATAAATACTTTCTGATTTTATATTTATTTGCTATGCTTCTTATTAGCTACATGGCCCTAAAGGTCCTTACATACCGAGCCGAATTTTGGAGTCGATAGATGTCGGGCCGTCGATGAGTGTCGTGTCGCCCTACTCAGATTGGTGTGTACTGCACCGTCGTGTCTTTTCGGCCGTGCCGACACCTTCCGCAGCCGATTCGACATGTCGAATGTCGCAAAAAAACTCTGATTGGCTGTTCAGCTTAGCGAATCAGTGCATGAGAAGCGAAACGGAAGTGAGGGACCCAAACAAACGATTAAGAAGGCAAATCTGAGATTTCATTTAACTCCAGCTCTCGACACAGGTTCGGGAAAGCCCCATGAGCTTCTCGTTGTAGAGTGAAAATGGAACGCACAAGCTATTTGTTGTTTATTTATATATCGGGCAGGGGTGCAGATCGCGTGTCACTACCCGTTCTGCCACCCTGCCCTATCTGCAGCTATCATACTGAATAAATATTTACTCTGAATGTATGCAAAACTGTATGGCATATAGCTGTCTAACAGAAGTTAAATCCATTCTTCACTTATTCTGACAATGTACTTAACCCCAAATAAAAGAACCCAATAAAAAGAGTTGTTAAATAATAGTGAAGTCACGTTGTAAGAACAATAACTTATCTCTCTCTTTTTTTCTTTTTGTGCTTTGCCAAAAGCCACTGTGTCAAGTGTCCTACTTGGGTTGCAGTACGGATTTGTCCAATATGGCGGACCATCTCGCACATGCGCACTGCAGATAGGGCAGGGCGGCAGATCGGGTAGTGACAGTCTGTCTTCCGGTTGTTGCCTCTTTTGAATGACGAATACACACTACCGCTAGGGCTGAACGATATACCGTGTCATGGCGATAACCGCGGTATGCGCATGCGCGGTATTCACACCGCAGGGACGTGCGGTTTTATTCATTAAAAAAAATAAATGCTAACGCACTTTAGCACAGAATTCAAAATAAAGATACCCTTATTACTTATCGAAACTGCACATACAATATATCCGCTAAAAGCTGAGACTCCACAGATTATTTAAGTATAGTATCTAAGCGATCCGATCTCGCAACAGGGGAAGCAAACACAGACATCACAACACGTACCTTTTACAGGAGATCGTCTCACCGTAGCTGTCAATCTGATCAAAAGACGTGTTCAATGGCATTAAAACGAGAAAGAAAAAAACGCGGCTGAATCGGTTGATCCATAGGTTGATAATGTATCTGTGGCTTTGAAGCAATTGTTTATAATCCATAATTCCATTTTTATGTAAAAATCGGAGCACAAAAGTTAGCTGCTAATGGTAGCCACCAGAGTGTATGCAGCTTCCGGTTTTGGCTACGCGTCACACTCACTCCTTATTTGTTCATGTGTTGGTGTGTGTAGAACTTCCCCTGCATGCACAGCAAACCACCAATCACAATCATTCTGTATCAAGATTGATATTTGACCTTTTTAGACAGATTTAGCACCAAAAAAAAACCTCTTTTGGGGCCATTTGGGTGGATTTTCCATATCTCTGGCCCACCTTGCTGGATTTTGACATGTGACATCTCTTTCTGACCGTCAGAGCCAATGGAATCGAGGGGAAATCACACAGTCCTAATTTGGTAATGTGTGTGTGAGACTTCCGCATATCCAAGACCGGAAGCAGCAACCACTCTGGTGGCTATCATTAGCAGCTAATTTTTGCTCTGCGATATTTACATAAAAATGGAATTATGGATTATAAATTAAATCATTTTTTTATACAGACGTTAAAAACCTATGGATCAACCGATTCAGTCGCGTTTTTTCTTTCTCATTTTAATGCCATTGAACACGTCTTTTGATCAGATTGACAGCTACGGTGAGACATCTCCCCTAGAAGCTACGTAAAGGTACGTGTTGTGATGTCTGTGTTTGCTTCCCCTGTCCGAGTTCAGATCACTCAGTGATGATACTATATACCTAAATAATCTGTGGAACCTCAGCTTTAATCGGATATATTGTATGTGCAGCTACGATAAGTAATAAGGGTACTTTTATCTTGAGTTCTGTGCCAAAGTGTGTTAGCATTTTTCGCTCAGGGGTCATTTAGATGCTTCTTATGAGACTTGTGTTTTGTTTTGGTAAAAATGGTTTGTATCGTCAGTTAGCTGAGATTATTTCCGTTAATCTGGTATAACACATTAATAGGTTCTTAAATATTACGATGCCCTGAGACACTG